GTGGAGCTCCTGACGCAGCGTTCCCACGCCAACGGGGGAGTCTGCAGCGGCGTGCGGAGCGCCCGGGATGATGGATGGATCTGCAGGGAGGGGGGGCGCAGGGGGGAGAACAGGAGGAGACTCACGAAAATGACATTTTTCAATATTGACATTTTATCAGCCAAAAGGCTGAGAAAAGAACCGTAATCCTTAAAGGATGTAAACATATATATTTACTTTGTGTTCTTTATAACACAATGGGGTTTTCTGCCTGCATGTTATACACCTCTGCGGTTTAGTAAAAAATATATACAACTCGCACAAACGTGCAGAAGCTCCCGGTGTTACATTTAGCGTGTTAGCTTAATGCTAACGCTCCACACCTGAGGGGAAAAGAAGCTTCAAGGCACAGAGAGAGATGAACAAAACCGGTCTGGGCTCAATCTCCCCCACAGTGTTGCTGTGCTAACGTTAGCATCCACGTAATACAGCAGCAGAAACATCTGGGTGTCTTTTGTGAAATAAAGAAAACAAAGAACTGGCTAGCGAGTGACGGACATGTTTTAACCACACGGGCCGAGAAACAGCCGTCAGCGTTTGGCAGCGATGCTGTTGATGAAGTAAGCGATGACAGCGAGGGGGGGTGAGGGCCTCCGACAGGTGATGGAGGCAGGGAGGGAGGGAAGGGAGCAGGGAGGGAGGAAGGGAGGGAGGGAGCAGGGCCCACCTGAGCGCCACGCTGCAGCTCCATGAGCCAAAGCTTGTTGGATGAACTTCTGCTCCCCACTTGGTCACCATGAAGCAAACTGAGAAAATACGTTTGAATCCAGCGTACTTTGTTCATTCTCTTATATCTTCAATCTCTAAAACAAATCTTGTTGCTTTGACACCATTACTAGCGACTGTAACAATATGGAGTTTGTTTAAGCGGTTACATTGTTTTGGAGAGATATCGGTTTTAAAGACGTCTGCCTTCTCTTTAATACATCAGATTTATAAGGCACAGCCGGTGTCTCCTGCCAGAAATCACAACGTGCTCCTCCAGATTATCCACAGACTTGCATGTAGGAACCAGACGTAGAAGCGGCGTTCTCTCTCATGCCGCGTAAACTCGTCCACGTGGCTCTGCCATCATCGCCGGGCATGAAGCCGGTTACACGTTTACAGATGTGGACATTTGGAGACGCTTCAGTCAACCCGTTGACCGTGGATCCGCGGTCTGAGACGAGGACGAAACTAATCCCACGAGCGGGACCAAACATGGAAGTCAGTTTGAGGATGACTTCCATGTTTGGCAGAAGCAGAAGATAAAGGACGGACTGATCAAAATGGTCCGAGACGGCTTGTCGCTGATTGGCCACCGAAAAGCAAATTACACTTTGAGAAAACTCAAATACAGATTTGAAATCCATAACTACTTTCAGGACTTTTGCAGGTATCTCACCTTGGTCCAGGGCCTGGGGGTCTTCTCTGGACCCGTTTTTAAAAGACGAAGCACCTGGAGTCGCCTTGCAGACAGAGATTCATCTCCACCCGGGTCTTCCTCCCCCTGCTTACGAACGCACATCCAGGGGATTATTCACGCCGACGTGGCGCTGCCGCCTGATTGGCTCAGACATCGTCTCTCGGCAACGCCGTCGCATTGTGTCGTCACCTGGCAGCACTTTAAAACACCAGAAGCAGGTGCTGGTTCCCAGTTCAACCAGCAGACAGACGGACCCTCCGGTTTCTTTATGGGGAGCAGAGAAGAGAATCAGATAGCTCCCCAGAGGTTGGGAAACTTTAAGTTGCTTAGCAACAGGGAAGATGTAGCACACCTTGAGCACTGAGATCTCTGACAACCGAGACCGAGGAGGAGAGGAGGTGAAGAAAGGAAGAGGTGATAGGAGGTGAGGAGAGGAAGGAAGGAGAGAAAGGGAGAAGGGTAAGGGGGGAGAGGAGGTGAGGGGGAGGAGAGGAGGTGAGGGGGAGGAGAGGAGAGGGAGAATCCCCCTCGTGATCTTTTTAATCTCCATCATGTCGCCTCAGATCAGGCGCCAGGTGTTCAACCTGCCCTCCCTCCCTCCCTCCCTCCCTTTGTCTCCCTCGGTCTCTTTCAATCACACTCAGGCTCACTCGCCCACCCCCATCATGGTCTCTCTAACACACACACACACACACACACACACACATCTGTCAAACATGAATAACTGCAGAAACTCAAATGTATTACTTCATAGTTTGTATAAGACAGACATGTAGACACTCATACACTATAACACACACACACACACACACACAGGTGGGCTGCAGCAGGATCCCACCCTGTAATTAAATTCTGTGTCTCCCACCTGTGTTACAGAAGCAGATCTGACTGAAGGTAATTACAGGGCTGCAGTGGAACAAAACAACACACACACACACACACACATTATGAAACACCACACAAAAGGACGCAGCCTTGGAGACACACACCTGCTACAAAGCAACACCACAGGGCCACACACACACACCTATAAATGAACCCAACAGGGGTCTCATGGTAAGTCTGTCATGTGACGGCCTGTTATTATTCTCTTATATTACAGTTATTATTCGCTCTTATATTACATATATTATTCTCTTATATTACGTCCAGACTTCCTTTTTATACACATTTTATACACATTTGTACGGAACGTTTCTTGTTCCAAATTCGATGGACTGACTCAAATAAATCGATCGGTTACCTGCAGGAAAAGATAAAGAGAAAGTGGAGAAAAAAAACAGACATGAGATAAGAATTAAATAAGACCTGAGACAAGGAGAAAGAGAAGATATATGGACAGGAGGAAGAAGCCAATGGCGATGGTGCTATAAAGAGCTCTGCTAACACCTCACCCCCCCTCCGCCCCCCCGCTGATACAGAGCAGGTCAAGTCTTCACAGCATCATGGCCGACATTAAGAGTCAGAACTTCAGTACACGTCAGTCTTCCCTTTTAAGAAATTCAATTAACTTCCACAGAACACAAAAAGCAGAACACATCCATCGCGCCAAAGAAGTATCCGTGTTTGTGTCTTGTGACCGAAGGGGGGGGGGGGGGGGGGGGGGGGGGGGGGGGGGGGGTGTCCACTTCTGCTGAGGAGCAGCGCTCTGAAACCTGCTTGTGTCCTTCAGTGTCCCCCCTCGACCCCCCTTCAGTCACACTCTTTACCCCCCCCCGTGTTAATCTACCTGTCGGGGAACAGTCGCCGAGGGCAACGTCAATACCTCCATGTATTTATTACACAACGGAGGGCGTCAGCTGCACTACAGCAGAGTGCAAAATAATTGGGGTGAGGAGGACGGGGAGGGAGGCCGTGGTTGGGGTGGGGGGAGGGGGGGGGGGGGTGATATGCTGATGCAGGAAAACGCAGTGCGGAGAAGGAAGAGGAGAGTTTGAGGGCAGACTGTGTGTGGGGGGGGGGGGGGTATTAGGAACATTGCTCTGGCAAAAAATGTGCATGTGTGTGTGTGTGTGTGTGTTTGTTCCGGGGCCTTTGAGGGGACCGACCGTGAAGCCGTTAACGGAGCGATGGAGGTCGGGTGAAGTAGCTTCTGTAACTTTCAGTACTTGCAGTAACTACGTGGTGGTTTCATACATGTACGTGGGGGGCGGGTTTAGGCAGCGGGGGCATTTGATTGGTCGGAGGTTCTCTGAAGCTTCTTGCCTCTGAGGTCCATTTTAATGACGTGTGGTGGAGCTGAAGTGTGTGTGGGACCCAGCAGAGGTGCCTTTGATTCACACGCAAAGCGCCGCCGGGGAGGAGTTAGCACGCCGGCACAAGATGGAGGTTTAAGGAGGAGAGCAAACAAGGTGGTGTTAGGAGAGGAGGGAGGAAAGGAATAGAGGAATGTATAAAAAAAAGGAGAGAAGTTTAATGAGGAAGAGGAGTAAAGGTGGGGGGGAAGAAGGGTCAGAAGCTGATGGGGGGGAGGGGGGGCATTTAGGAGGATCGAGGGCAGCAGACGAAGGTGAAGAAGCAGAAGAAAAAGGCCAGAGGAGGAAGGAAGGAAAACACTGCTTGTTGCTGCTTCTGTGACTGAAACAGGAGAACTTTAAAGTGGGGGGGGTTAATGTCGGGTTCTTGATTCCCATTTTAACCGTGAAGAAAGAAACGACCCACCTTTGTCCTCCATGTAGTGAATCTTTATTGCACAACATCCAGAATGCAAAGCGTCATCTGAGCAGAAAGGAGGCGCCGCGGCGTGAGTCTCACCCCCCCAACACGAAAACCCAAAAGCATAAATACTAAATAGACCTGCTCGCTCTCTTGTGGGAAATATAATAATCACAGAGAATGTGTTTACGTGCCGCCCGGCTTTGAGGAGAATATTCAAACAATTCAAAAATGACACAATCTCATGAATTAAAACGTCCGGAATCTAAATAAAAACCCAAATCAACAGCAACTAAAAAAAAACCCTGAGATTATATACAATATACATCTATATAGATATAGATATCTGAGATGGATTTCTGCATAGTTTAGAAGGATTAAAGCTTTATTGATCTCATGCTGTCAGACGCTTGTTTATAAAGAGGTTTAGCGAAGATTAGCCAACAGGAAGTGATGTCATCGTAAAGTGCGAGTTGGAGGAAAATACCACGATGCAGCATTTTGTTCAGTAAAGAACGATGAGGTGATTTCACAGGAAAAAAATAAATAAAATAAAATGACGTTGACCTCCACATTTGAATCACTTCAATAAAAGATCTTCAGAACAACGTTTAGTGGAACGTTTCCTCGGCTTGTGACCCAAATGACGACCAGCGTTCCCGCTTGGACTCCTGCGGCGGCGTCCAGGCGGCGCCTCCTCGCTGCTCAGTCGGGACGGCGAGCGGTGCAAAGTGGTGTCCAGCTTTCGTTTTCGGTCCCTCTTCAGTCCCTGCGGGACGTCCTGGTCCGCTCCGGGCATGGCGGCGCCGTCTGAAGCTGCAGACGCGCCGCGTCCCCCTCGTGGTTAACGATCACTTGAGGAGTCGGAGCGGCGCGAAAGCAGACGTGAGGCGAAAAGCAGTCAGTCGTCGTAGTCGGCGTCGCTGCCATAATCTGTGGGGAGGAAGAGGACGACGATGATGATGATGATGATGATGGTGCATGTAGGAGACACATCTTCAGGGTGCAGAAGAGTGTCAGGTCTGGAGGGCAGTGACCTTTGACCTCACCGTGAAGCAGAGGGGACCACAAACAAAGAGTTCGACTTACAGGAATCAATTAAGTGCGTTTTTATTGCGGCAGAGACCTTAAATGTTAACGGCCAGAGACGGAGAAAGTTAATGTTTAGGAGACCTCGTTAAAACTGTTAACAACAATAAGGACAAAGAGTTTGTCTCTCGCTCGCTTTATAAGGAAGATTCAAGCTGAGAATTCAGATTTATTGTTATTTAGAGCAGTTTCTTCCGGTTAAAGAGGCTGATTTACCAACAGGCTAGTGAAATATTATTATAATATTTTAGTGGGTTTCTGTTCTTCGAAGCCTGACTTTCACATTTGAATCCTTCCGAGGGCCCTTGAACGCATCACGTGTGACGAGGCCCGTCAGAGGGAAACACCAAACTAAGCTCAAGACTCTTGAAAAGGTTCCGAGCTCCTCAGCGTGAATATAGAATCCAGATCGATTCGCCTGAGACGGAAACATGAATATCTAAATATAAAGAAGACAAGCTGGATAGATGAATTCCACTGTGGGAAAACTTTGTCAAAGAAATGATCAGAAAACTGCTTTTATTGTTTCTCATCATTTGCGTCTTATTCTGCAGAAATAAGACGTAATTGTTCCAGTTGCATAGAAGAAGAAAAGGACTTTTATATCTGGTGAAAAAGCTTGAGCGGAAAAAAATAAATGCTTCTGAAACTGGGCCGTGTTTCAGAGGGTTATAACGCGCTGGTTAACTCCCCGAACGGCATTCTGGGTAAATCTCGTAATAAAGTAGAAACTGACCGTTGCTGCCCAGCAGATCCATGGCGCTGACACAGGCCTCCTCTTCCTCGTCTTCCTCCTCATCGCCGGCCGCGTCATCGTAGACCACCGGCCCGCTCTCCACCACCACGCCGGCGCCGGCGGGAGGGGGCGGGGCTTCGCCGGCGGCGGCAGCCTGGGCAAACAGGAAATATTGTTGAGTTTTTAATATTTTCCTCGGCGTGACACCAGCCTCCCTCGAGGGAAATCTAATCCAGATCTGATCTCATAAAGCCCAAAAATAATAACCAGCGGGGGGCTGCGAGGGGGGGGGGCCTTAGGGCAGGTGGAGGTATTTCATCTACGGCTCCATCACCACATAATGACTTTTTAGAGCCTTTATTGTCTCACACTGGTTCAACCAAGTCATACAAAAGTCAGTCAAATGTAGACGCTCGTGTGTACTTTGAACATCACGACACAAATCCACCTTCTCAGTCCGTTCTTGTTCCGCAGCGACTGAAAGGGAACCTGCCTGTTCTCCTCCTCCTCCTCCGCCTCTCGGGGCTCGAGGAGAAGGAGGCGCAGGAGGTGGAGGAGGAGGTGGAGTCTCCTCAGTAGCTTCCTGCTGGCTTCCTCCATCACTTCCTCTCCTCTCGTTTCATGTCCCTCACATTTGATCTATTTTTGACCCACAATCGCGCAACGGAGCAATACAAAGAATCAAAAAGGCTTTTAATAACTTCTGAGCCCCCCGGTGGACCCCCGCTGACGTCGGCCCACCAGAGTCCTTCACAGCCGCTGGACGCCTCATTAAGCGCCGCGTGAGGACTTCTCGGGTAGGAAACAAATAAGGAAACCACCCCGAGGCTAATGAGGAGGCGAGAGTTGTGGGAGTGAAACAAGATTTTCTGACATCGAGGGGGGGGGGGGGGGCGGGACATGTGACCGTCTGCAGTCACTCAGGAACAGAACCAAACAAACGGAGCAGAGTGCGGATCAAAGCGCTCATTTAAAACCAGGAAGTACAAACTACTGACAGATTTCATCACGCCGTTTCCACGGTAACAACCACAAGCTGCAGGTTCTCTTCTGATTCCAATTAACAAGTCACCAGGAGGCGCCGCCCCCCCCCCCCCCCTCGGTGCAGCGTTACATAACCGAGGAGCAACCCGACGGTTCCCAGGAGGAGGTTTGGGGGGTTGCTAGGTAACAGGCCCTGTTGACCCGGCCCCCATTGTGACAGAGCCCCCTCCCTCACCCGCCCTCCCCCATCGGAGACAAGAGAGGAAGGGGCGAGGAAATGAGAAGATAAAGGGGGAGAGAGGAAAGGGGAGGAGGAAAGAAGGGAAACAGACTTTTCACTTCAACTTTTATCTGCACAAAAAAAGGTTTTCCGCTCGCTCAGCGTTGTTTGTGTTAAAAAGAAGTTAAAAAGCTCGTTAATGGATTGAAGTCTTGCAGAATAAGTTCTGACAAACATTTTACTGATATGATCTTCCATAGCGCGTGAATAATATTATAATACTTTATTCTTCTACGCTGTTTATTGCCACGTGGCGTCAACGACGCTGCTGCAGAAAGTTTCAGCTTCAAAGTCACCAAATTGCCTTTTTTTTTTAAAATATATATATAATACTTTTTAGCAGCTGGCTTTTTCTAACAAGGCCTCTTTTGTTACGGGGCTGCGGTGATGAATCCTCCACGTGGAGATGTAGAGGAACACGACAGCAGCTCATCACCAGTCAGACGGAGAAACAAGACGATGTAAAGCTTCCCGCGTATTGAATTCTGGTCCAATTTAAAATCAAATTAAGAACCAAAGCTGGATCTGCCTGAAGGTTCCGAGCGCTGTGAAGCTGTGAAACGAGGAAAGAAGAAGAAAAGACCTGGAAAAGTGCTGCTTCAGACGTTCCAGAAGTTTAGCAGCCTGTCGCAGGAACTTCCTGGAGGGGGGAGGAGCAACGGAAGGAAGGACAGAGACAAAGGCAGGTTCTCCCCCCAAACACCCCTCCCTCCCCCGCCCCCCCACAACCCCTCTGCTCCGAGCAGTCAGCCACTAGATGTTAATGGAATTAAGACGGTCTCCCGGTTTACACAGCTTCATGCTTCATGCGTTGTGTCTCTGCTGAATTAGAGAGTGTGTGTGTGTCTGTGTGCACACGTGCGTTAAGTGTGTGAGGGAGACGCACAGCACGGTGAAGACGAGCGGCGGCTCACCTGATCCACGGCGAGCTTCTTACTGGGCTGACCGCTGATGAAGGGCTGCAACCTGCAACACACAGCGACACACACATCAGCACAAGGACACACACACACACACACACACACACACACACACTCCTTCGCCTCCTCGTATTTGAGGACATCGGTTGAAGCTTCCGTGGTTTAATTGAAAACGTTGTTTTCACTAAGAAGAAGCATCGTGGCCCAGCAGGCAGCGACACCATATAGATATTAATATTAATATCGCTCGTGATATTATTGGTCATTAAGTGTGACTCTCACAGCTGTGGTTTATTAAGCCTCCTCACAGACACTATTAGAATATATTGATATTCCATATTCACGCCGGGGTTTATTACAGGGTTTACCGCTGACACAAAGAACGGCCGAGGGCTTCAGTTTCCATTTCCTCGGCGCTCTTTGACTCGCGGCTGCCAACAACAAACGAGCGCAAAGAGCAGAAGAAGAAACGCAGCGAGACCCGAACCGTGACTGACAGGCGGACGCCAGCGGAGGAGATCGCCCATCTACGCAATTCCTCAGCAGCCGCCGCCTCTTCCTCCCCCGCCACCACCACCACCCGGCCCACCGGCTGGAATTAGCATCGTTCCCGGAGGCTCAGCGCCCCCCCCCCTCCCCTCCCCTCCCTGCAGGCTTACAGTAAACGCACACTTCTCTCGGATAGGAGAGAAACCCAGAGAGCGGTTTTTATTTATTCTCCTTTACCCGGGGGGGGGCCAGGGTAAGAAAAGAGAGAGGGGGGGGGAGGAGGGGTAACAGACACCATGCCCCCCCCTTCCCGGAAGCTCATCAGAAAACAACTCCCTCCTGCTGAGAGCGGTATTCAGGCCCCAGACAATGTGAGGGATTATTTTCGTTTTCCTGGCCCCTGACCCTCCTGGGGGGGGGGGGGGGGGGTGGGCAGAGAGGTAAGAAAAAAAGGGGTGAGGAGGTAAAGGAAGCACAAAGGAGCCAAGTGAGCAAATAATAAGGTGAATTATTATATTTTGAATGTTTTATTCACTCACAGCCTCTCATTTCCGTTTTTACCGGCAAAAGAATCCATTTTTCAGTTGATAGTGAGGAGGGGTCAAAGGTCAGGGTGGCCCTTAGCAGGCATCCAAAAGGAAAAATAAGGGTTAAGAGATAGAAATAAGAGACGGTCCTTTGCTCGAAGGGCTGCCTTAAACTTTGCTACAAATATTAGCATGCTAATGCGCTAACCATCGCCACCATGCTGTAACACACACACACACACACACACACACACACACACACACACACACACACACACACACACACACACACACACACACCCCAATAACCAATAAAACCGCCCTCGACCACTGACGGCTCTCGTTACGCCGCAGCTGGTTGTTGTTGTTGTTGTTACAATGTAGTTTAGCTCGTTAGCTTAGCTCGTTAGCGCCGAGGAGATGAGAGGCCTCGGCTCTTTTCCAATCGGGTTTGTTAGAAATTGTTAATAGAAATCAGCTTCCACTTCCCATCACTGCCTCTGCGGTTGCAATAAATCAGAGACAAACCGAGGTAATGAGCGAATAATGACACATTATTCATGCTGTAATCCAATCAATAACACGGAGGAGGAGTTATCTGCCAAGTGGGGGGTTGAATGAATTAGTTCGGCAATGAGCTCTGATGTAAATAAATGATAAAAATCTGAAAAAAAACTCACGCAGATGTTCAGATTCACGTCACTATACTTTGAACTGCACAACACGGCGCGATGAAAGGGAGAAACACGACGACCTCGTCACACAACATTTATAATGTGTGAACATTGAGCTTTGGAGGCGGGATCACACGCGCGCCGTTGACGTGTGTCACGCCGGGTGAGCAGCACGTTTCTGTCGTTGGTAGAGAAGCTTGTTAAGAAAATCCCAATGAGGGTTTGAACTTTAACGAGCTTCAGGGGGTTTACGCACACACACACACCACACACCACACACGCACACCACACGCACCACGTCTGATGAGAACTGTGACACGTCGCATCTCCTGATGGATTCTGGGTCATTTAGCGCCCGGCTGCGCCGCTGCGTTCATCCTGCGGAGATACTTTTGGGGACCGTGACGGGTCCTGTGAACAGGGATTAACTATTCATTGAATCGGGGGGTCGGGGGGTCGGAGGGGGGCTCTGAATACACAGGCGTGCAGTGCAGCTTGCTGATGGAGGGAGACGAAAGCTTGAGACGGAAAAGGACGCTTAATACAGCATCGCCGAGTGAAGAGGCAGCGCCGTGTGTGTGTGTGCGATTACACACCACTAATCACACAAACGGGGAGGATAACACGCCATTAACACGGTTCGCCCGCTGAGCTCGGTTCTGAACTTTGGGGACTCGACCGTCCACATCCGTCACGTCGCTCCACCACTCGGGCCACCTTCAGCGCGACCTCTGACCTCCAGCGTGGATCCGCTGCAGCGGCTCCCGGGAGAACCAAGCTGGAGTTGCACCGCAAAAATTAAACTTTGGCCTCAAAACAAAACGTTGCAAAGGAGGGAGGAGGGAATTTAAAAGAATAAAACCAAAAAGCCGGCTTTGATGTTTCCGTAAATAAGGGAAAAGTTTCCTGAACCCTTTTCTGTTCTTTGAAGTACAACAACGTCTCTGTTCTACTCGTATAACACAAAGACAGTGAATACTAAACGCAGCTTCCTCGGCACCATCAAAGGAATACAACAAAGAACTGAATGTGTGCCACAAATTAAAGAATAAAAACTATATTTTAGCATTAAAATGGAATACAACTTTAAATTACGAATAAAATTGAAGCAGATCAAATAAAAATAAGCTATTTCTTAGCTATTTTTTTATAACTACATGATTTGGTCAAAAGCCGCTCGACAGAGGCCTTTTTATTCCAATGAAGGAACTTCAAAGTGCGACGGCACGTCATCGTGTCCCAGACTAAAGGTCAGAGGTCACGCGTGTTTAAATACACCG